CCCGTTGTGGCCCCATGTGCATGCCCTTCGTGGGGCCCCGTTGTCGCCGTTTGTGGCCCCCTCACTGTCCCACGTGGCCCAGCTGCTACCCTCAGTGGCCCCATCGTTGCCTTCTGTGGCCCCGCACTATCTGCCCTTCGTGGCCCCCGCTCGTTCGCGCTCTTCGTGGTCCCATACGCATTCCCTTCGTGTCCCCGCTGTCGCCCTTCGTGGCCTACTTCGTGTCCTTCCTGGCCCTGCTGTCGTTCTCTCTCGCTCTCGCTTTCGCTCGTCGTCGCCGTCGTCGCCGTCGTCGCCGTCGTCGTCGACGTCGTCGTCGCCGTGGTCGGTCCCCTGTCCGTCCCTCTTGGGGTCGGGTCGACGGTCTGCGGCCGCCTGCAGGGAAGAAAGGTATACCCCCCAAAAGGGGTTCGATCGAAGACGAAAAGGGGCGGGTATCGAGGGTTTGGGAAATACGCGTTATTGGACACTCGAGCAGATAAGGGCAAACAATCTTAAAATGATGGTTGATGTTGTTGTTGCTGTTGTTGCTGCTGCTGTTGTTGGTGTTGGTGTTGGTGTTGGTGGTGTTGTTGTAGTTGTGGTTGGTGTGGTTGTTGTTGTTGGTGGTGGTGTTGTTGTTGCCGCTGATGTTGTTGTTGTTATTGTTGTTGTTGCTGTTGTTGTTGTTTGTTGTCGTCGTCCCACACGCGACCCACCCGCGACCCACCCCGAGACCCACCCCGCGACCCACCCCGCGACCCACCCCGCGACCCACCCCGCGACCCACCTGCGACACAACCCGCGACTCACCCGCGACCCACCCCGCGACCCACCCGCGACCCACCTGCGATCCACCCACGACCCACCCCGCGACCCATCCGCGACCCGCCCGCGACCCATACGCGACCAACCACGCGACCCACCCGCGACCCACTTGCGACCCACCCGCGACCCACCACGCGACCCGCCCGCGACCCACCCGCGACCCACCCGCGACCGAACAGCGACCCACCCGCGACCCACTCGCGACACACCCGCGACCCATTTGCAACCCACCAGCGACTCACCCGCGACCTACCTACATTGGTTTAATGAAAAATCGGCGTCTGCGGCGGACTCGTTGTATAATTTGTGAGAATGTTGGCGCCTGCGGCGGGCTTCTTCAGAGACTCGCAGACTGCCGACGTCCCCACCGCCCCTTCACTCTTATCCGCAGCGGCGGGGTGATACGTACAACTATTGCGCGCCGCGCGAGGCCTCCAGGATGATCCCCACGAAGTGTTCATAATGGGTAGGACTTGTTGTCGGTCTCCGCTTCTGTCCGTACCCACCTCGATCGTACCGAAGGAAGGGGAGGCGCGAATCGGGAGCGTCCGAACCTGGGCGAAAGTTGGCGGCTTGGAAGTGGACACAGACACCCAATCAGGGGTTGCGTTCACCAGGGAGAATGATCCTAGATTATGGTGTTGGTGGTGATCTTTCGGCGGACGGTGCCAGCGGCTTGCAGCTCTTCGGCGAGTCTCTTTCAGCTGTGGCATTGGGGTAAGCGACTGTCGTAGAGAGTCTGGAAGCCGAGGGCGCTGTGGTCGACCGGATCTTGTCGTAGGTGAAGCCTTGCGTCTCGTCGAGCTGCCGCCGCGTCCCAGGGCTACCTGTAAACTGCGTCCATAGCCCGGCTGCGTCCGCCCAGACGACGAGGGTGTGCACCTGGGATTCGGAGGCGGAGGCGGCCATTTTCGTGTTGAGCATCACGATGACGCCTCCGTGCGCTTGGGTGAAAGCAACGTTGATCCGATGCGGGTCGTCAACGAAGCCCCAGTGCCCGCAAGAGTTGGACCAGGTGGCGCAGAGGACTACGAGGTTCGCCTCATATCCCTGGCTGCCGTCGATGGTCGATACACGGATGAGCCATCTGTCGAGTAGGCGTCGACTAGTGAGCTCGAGGCCGCTGAATTGGAGGTCAGGGCCGCTGAGGGGGCTGGCGGGCTGCCTCCCGAACACCTGGCCGCTGGGGGGCACCTTTGCCTTTCCCTGGCCTTTTCGGGGAAGTGCGGGCGTGTGGCGACGCAGAGGCACGGGAGCTGGGGCGGGTGCCTTTGGGGTGGGACCCACCCTCGCCCTTACTCGAGGGCTTGCCGTGGCAGGCTTGTAGGAAGGTTGCGGGGTCGACGGGCCGACCTGTCTTGATGATCACAGCGTGGACGCGGCAGCCGCAGAGGACCAGGATGCGCCGGCTGCTCTCCAGGAGGTGGCCCTCGACGGCCCTAATAATGTCGCATACGGTTGCAGCTATCCGAAGGTTAGCGGTGCCTTCCGCCAGGACTGTGGGGAGCTTTGCCGCGTTCTCGTGAGCAACCAGAATCCTGATGTGATCCCCCCGCGGGGTGCCGTGCTGGGCGTTGCGGAAGCCGTCGGTCCCGAGCACACATGCACACACTTTTGCTCCGACGCGCTGACGACTCCAGTCGATGGGACAGCGATGGCGAGCCACGCTCAAAACGAATTGAGCACCTTGAGTGGGAGCGTGGACAGAAACGTCGCCCTCGGCGATTGACCGAGCAGTGAAGCCAGGCAGACGCAGTAAAATCACACACGCAAAGAATACACACACTCAAAGATCACACTTGTGAAGGCTGAGCTCGATACTGGTGGCTCTCTCCACACACACACACACACTTCTGTTGCTCGGCAACGAAGCGAGCTGCGCGGCATCGTCGAAGTCCCCTGTCGGCGGCAGACGGCAGCGGCAGAGGAGCAGGAAGGCGGAGAAGAGTGAGAAGCTGGCCACGCGCGTGCCGCGAGCGTACCACGGGTGGCACGGCGGAGGCGGCCTCCTCCGGGCACACGCCTTCGCGTGCGCGTGCGCGCATGCCCGTGCGCACGCGCGGACGCAAGCCGCAGGCGCGCACTCCGCGCACGCGCGCGATCGGCTGCGGCATCCTGAGTCGTCTGCTCAGTCCCAGGGCCAGGTGCGGGTCCCCGGCAGCCGGAACGAACCGGCGTGACCCTTCACAGGGACCAGGAAAACCACCCTCGCAGTTAAGAAGCACCCCGACAAGCCAAGGCGTTTCTAAACGCAGCCAGAGAAGGAATCGAACAAGGCAGGGCTGCTTAGTAAACGCCCACGGCCTTGCAGGAAACCCCGATTCTCGGGGACGGGATGGTTTTTTCCCTCTCTTGCTTCCTCACGCCGCGAGGGACTCTGGGTCGGGGGGGTGGGGGGTCTCCACGTCGGCGGACCCGGACAAAGCCAGAGCGTTGCACTTGCAGGGGCACGGCGGAGGCGGCCAACAGGGGGGCGTCCAAGAGGGGGGACGCAAATCATGGCCGGCGGCATGTGCGCGGCCCAGAGGGGGCGCAGGGGCGGAATGACATAAGAACAGGCGCCATGAACTCTGAGGACATTCGTGGCCCACGCCATGATATGGTAGAGGGAAACAACTAGTGAGCACCCCCCCTGCCCCCCAAACTCAAGGTTGGCACGCGCGGGGGAGACTTCGGTCGAGGTGCAACTCATCAGAGCCACCGCCAACTCTGAACCTTGGGGGGAGGGGGAGGCGTTCACAGATGAATGTGGCACGAGTGTTCGCTATTTTCTCCCGAGGCCTGTACCACCCCCCCCCTGGCCATCGCCTCCCCCTTTGCCGAATCCCGACACCTGCAATCGGGAGCGGCCAAGAGGGGGGTGTCCAAGAGGGGGGGGTGCAAATCATGACCGGCGGCATGTGCGCGGCCCAGCGGGGGGGCCAGGGACGTAATGAATAAGGAGAGGCGCCCTGAAATCCGGGGAAATATCATGGCCCCCGCCATGATATCCACCCCCCCCTAGTCATCACCCCCCTCTTTGCCGCCCCCGACACCTGCAAGGGCACGGCGGCGGCGGCCCCTTCCGCGCACGCGCGCGCGCGCGCCCATGTGCCCCGTGCGCACGCGCGGGGGGGTCGCAGAGGCCGCAGGCGCGCACGAGCGCCGCGCACATACGCGCGGGAGCTCGGCCGCGGGCGGCGCCTGGGCGGGCGGCGGCGCCGGAGCCAGCGGCGGGCGGGAGGGCGGCTCGAAGTGGCACACGTCCCTGGCGGCCGGCCCAGAGAGCGCAGGTCTGCATCCGCGGCCACAGCGGGCGTTATGGGGGGGAGGGGGAGGGGGGCACGGGAGGGGAGCGGGGGGAGGGGGGGAGGGGGGGGGGCACGGGAGAGGGGCGGCACGTAGCGCCCACACCCCCCCCCCAGACTGGGGTGCCGGACGCACTGCGGCAGTCCCAGGGACGCACTGAGGGGGGGGAGCGTCACGTTTTGGTGGGGAGGGGGTGGGTGAGGGGGGGGAAGGGGGGGGGGGGGCATAACGCGCAGTATGGCCCAGAGGGTTAAAAAAACACTCTCCGAGGGAGGGCGGCGCCAGCCGAGGCAAAGCGAGGAGGCAGCAAGCTCTGAGAAGCGAGCAGCGGTGTGGTCGAGAGGACGGAACAATTGGTGGCGGCGTGGGCCGGGAGGGCGAGAGCAGGGCTGGGCCTGAACGGTGTGATTCGTTTCGTTATCCGACCTATGTTTCCATGTGTTATTTTGAAACTTCTGTTTCGATATTCTGTTTCGAGGCCCAGGGGAACAGGCAGAACAAATCGAAACTTATGCTTCGATGTGGTCTGCCTGTTCCCCTGGGCCTTTCCGCCTAAGCAAAAAAACAGAACGAGGCCCGAAATCCAGCAACACAACGTTTAGGTCCAGCCATGGGCGAGAGGAAGAGGGGACAGGAGGGACGGGAGGAGAGAGCGCGAGGGAGAGAGCGGCGATACCACGGAGGAGCAGGCGTTCGGCCGATGTGAGCAGATGTGAGCAGAAAGAAAAGGAGAGACACACAGGCAGAAACAAAGACAGTGACAAAGAGACAGACACAGATAGGCACATGGAGCATGTATCTATATATAGAGAGGGGGAGCGAGAGAGAGAGAGAGAGACACAGGGGCAAAGATGGAGACAGCGACAACAAAACCAAAAGATGAAACATACACAGATACACAGTGCGGACGCGACCGCAAGAACCCCCCCGCAGGAAACCCAACCCTGAAGACCCGTGCGCGAGGTTTCATAGGGGGAGCCCAGCGCAGCACCTCCTCAGCGCCCGCGGCAAGTCACCGCGCAGCGCGCGCAGCGAAGAAACCGAGGGCACCCTGACGAAGACAAACAGGCGCGTTCCACTACTCGCAAAGTAGCTACTCGCAAATGGCCTGGATCCACTGCGTCGAGGCACACAGGCTCCGTTGCATCGAGCAACGACCGTTTCTGATGACGTTTGCGAGTAGGCACTTTGTGAGTAGTGGAACGCGCTCGGTGAGCAGAGAATCTGGCGTCTAACCAATGCTTCCTAACTGTACCCGTAGCACCCGCAGTTGCAGGCAGGAGCGAGGCCCCCTGCCGGCACGCGCCATCCTGCACGTTTGCGTGCGACCTGACCTTTCTGGTCATGGCTCACGTGCTGACTTCCTACCAGACAACCCCAACCCAACCCGAAGACCCGAATTTCGGGTTGGGGGGGTACGGGTTCCATGTGTTTTCTCGATGTTCCCCGGCCCCCCCACTGGAACTGGAGAACAAATTGAGGCCTTCGGGTTGGGTTGGGGTGTTTTGGTGAGTGGTGACATGCGGCTTCCGTGGACCACTCTTCTGAGGAGGTGCACAGTGGTCGCCCCGACGTGGCGTGGCGCGACGCGCAGGCATCAGCGCCCTCGCCACGGGCTGCGATCCTTCCTGACCACGCGCCACTGCGCAGTCCCCATAGGGGCGCCACCGTCGGTCGGGCGCACCCCAACATGGATCAAGGATCCACCGATCGGAAAAAGGAGTACCGCCTGGAGCGTAAGCCAGTGCCGCCTGGTTTGGCAGCGAGCGCGTCGATGTCGCATGCAAACAGGTCCCGCCGCCAAGTCCACACGCCTCCTAGATGGGGTCGGAGTAGATGGGGTCGGAAGATCGCGCCGCATCGCTAATACATCCACGATGAATCGGCGATGTATTGGCGATACATCGCCCATACACCGGCGATGCATCGTCGACGTCGGCGATGCATCGGCGACGCCGATTTGAAGCAAAGCGGGCTCCACCTCGAGCCGCATAGCCGATGCATCGGCGATGCGGAGCGATCCTCCGACCCCATCTGCTCCGACCCCATCTAGGAGGCCTACAGTCAAGGTACTACCAGACGGAACGCCAAATAAGGAGCGAAGCTCCCTTTTAGCCCGAGAAACGCCTGGGTGCACGAATGGGGCTGGAGGAACAACCACGAAATGACCTGAGGAACCGCGAGCACGTTCCGAAACCAAAGCGGTCCTTGCTTCAGCGTCTTGAATGTAGAGCTAAGTCCAGCCGCCACTCTCGAAAGGCATCCATGTCCATAGCTCCTGCTCGTCTGGGAACGGGGCCAGGGTTGGAGGAGGGCGGGGAGGAGAAGGAGGGCAGGAGGAGGACGAGGAGGACGAGGAGGACAAGGAGGAGGAGAAGCAGAAGGAGGAGACACGGGAGAAGGAGCAGCAGCACGAGCAGCAGCAGCGGCAAGGCAGCAGCGGCCAGAAGCCCGCGCTTCCTCGGCGGGCGACCCGCCGCAAAATCCGCCCGTGTCCGCGCTCCCTGCGACGGGCCCCGGGCGGGCGCCCCCGCCGGGGGGGGCCCCACGGCGGCCCGCCCCCGCCCCGCCGCGGCGGGGCGAGGCGCGCCGGGGGCGCACGGAAGGGCGCGGGGCACCCGTCGCTGGCCCACGCGCGCCGCGTGCTGCCGCTCTCGGGCGTCTGGTCCCCGTGCACATTTTCGGCGTCGCGCGCTCGGCTTTCGCAAGAGGGCTGAGGTCGGGCATGTCCTCCTACAGGCAGATTTTTGGGCGAAATGGAGACAATAATCCAAAAATCTTCAGAAACAGTCAAAAAAAATATCGAAAAGACGTCCCCGGACTGTTCCTCTTCTACTTTTGTATAGTCCTCCCGTATAGAGGGACAGGCCCGACTTACAAGATGGCCCAGGACGCGCCTCCATGACTCCTATCAAACAAGAGTGCACACGTCCGAGCGATGCCAGAAGGCCTTGCGTTTCCTCGACGGGCGGGCGCCACCGCTGGGGCCCCACGGCGGCGATCGCCCCCCCTCGCCCGGGCCCCCGCGACGGCGCCGCGGGTCTGACCAGGCACCACCTGCCCCCAACGCGCACACCCTTTGCGAGGCCGCCTCCCCCCAAGGAGCCGCAACGATTTTGAAACTGAGAATTTTTCATCATGTCGACGTCCTGAAGCTTGGCATTGGGATGGCGACCCTCACTGAGAGGGGGAGCGACAGAGAGGGTCACTCGCATGTACACGTCTGCCGGAAGAAGCGGATTCCGTAGTCTGGGTCCAGGCCCCCCCAGAGAACAGCGGAACGCAGCAAACGCATACCGGTCCGTGAAGTAGGAAAGCGCTTGAGGTAGATTGGGATCTGGAAACGCACACATGCTTTCGACGACAAGCGTATACTCTTTTTCTAAGACAGTACACTGGCAGTGGCAGCACAGATGCGATACCAGAGCGAGTGGCCTTCACCCGATGCCTCTGTGCAGTGCCGCCATGTGGGCCCCAGGGGCCCCAGGGGCCCCTGGAGGGCGAGAGCCACCTGCGCCTGGCAGGCAGGGCACGTCAGCATCCGTGCAGACTTAGAGCCCAAATCGAGATCCACCATGGGATGGTAGAGCTGCAATCGAGATATAACATAGGATGTTCAGGCTCAAGTCGAGATCTAACATGCGATGTTAGAGTTCAAATCGAGATCGAACGTGGGATGTTTGAGCCCAAATCGAATGAGGGGGGGCGCCAGGGCACTTCTCGCCCAGGCCGCCGCCGCCGAAGGGCCGAGGAGGGGGGGGCTGGCTCAGGAGGGGGAGGCGTCGGCTTGGCGGATGCAGCCGGCGACGCCTCGCAGCGCCCACCGCAGAGGCAGGTGGACCAGCCGAGAGGCTCCGCCAGCCGCGGGGCATTTATCGCCCAGGCCGCTGCAGTCGAAGGACCGAGGAGGGGGCGAGTGGGAGCGATAGGGGGGGGGACTGGCTCAGGGGGGGAAGGGAGTGAGAGGAGCAACATCGGCTTGGAGTCGGCGATGCCTCGCCGATGGATTGGCGCTGGCCCCCGATAGCGGGACCACAAATTCCTGGGTGGGGCGGGCTATCAGGCCTCTATCGGCGACGAGTGGGCGATTGGGCGTCGACAGTTCCCTCCGTGAGATCCCCCCCCCTGTCGTTGCCTCTGATGCCCTCCCCCCCCCGAGGGGGCGGCATTATATGCAAGAAGCATAGGTCCTCCTGAGAAGGCTTGGCAGAAAGAAGGCATGAGGGCGTTACATCGGGGGCGCCAGGGGGGGATCACAAAGGAGGGGGTGGCGAATCGGATCAACAAAAGTACCCCTAACCCTTTGAGAGGGGGCCTAAGTTAGGAGTGCTTCTCGCAGATGTATCAGGCCAAACCGCCCAGATGTATTATCCCTCATGCGAAGACGGGGGCCTAAGTGATGCCACGTCTTCATCGCACTATTGGGAATTAGGATTCGGGGTTCTTCTGTTCTCGATGAGAATCGGCTGCATGCAGCGCCCCCCCCCCCGCCGCCTGAGGTGGCCATGCATACCGAGGAAGGTGCCCAGCGGTGGAGCGGAAACCAGCAGCCTGCAGCAGCTTTCGCCCCCTCCCGCTCCTAATCCCACCCCAGGAGGGAGGAGGGAGGAGGAGGAGGAGGGAGGAGGGAGGAGGAGGAGGAGGAGGAGGAGGAGGAGGAGGAGTGAGGAGTACGAGGGGAGGTGATGATCACGCTGATGGTGATAGTGATGATGGCGATTATGATGATGACGTCTCTCGAAAAAGTTGGGACCTCGTGCGAAATCACGACTGGAGCCTCGCCCATTTCTGGAGCCGGATGGACCTGTGAGGGTCGCGGGGCTCGAAACTGGGCGAAAGCGTCCGGCTCGAAAGGTATCCAGGAAACGTCCAGCTGGAAAATCACCCAGCTCGAAAATGTCGGGGCTGGAAACTTGGGTCGCGAGGATCTCGGGGTTCGCTCTCCCCGATTCTAAAAAGCCCCCTACCTTCACAGGCTGCCGCCCCCTCGCGCCAGCCCCTCGCACACACACACACACACACACACACACACCACGACCAGCTGGAAGCAGCTGATCAGCCCAGGGTCTTCCAGCGAAGACAAAGAGATCAGCTGACCAGCTGGAAGCAGCTGTGGTCAGCTGGAAGCAGCTGATCGGGCGACGACAATACGTCAGAGATTATGCAAGGCGGCGGGGCCGAAGCCCACTGCATGCGGCTGAGTGCGCAGTTCGCAAGACCCCCTTTCAGAGCCCAACCCCTCTGCGTCCTCCTCTGGATGACTCCAGAGGCTCAGAAGCTCGTCGAGCCTCTCGAACTTCGATCCAAGAACTTCGTTCCTCATGACGAGGACGACGACGGCGGCGACGACGACGACGACGGCGGCGACGACGACGACGACGACGACCACGACGACGACGACCACCACCACGCCCACGACGACCACGACGACGACCACGACCACGACCACGACCACGACGACCACGACGACGACCACGACCACGACCACGACCACGACCACGACCACGACCACGACCACGACTACGACGACGACCACGACCACGACTACGACCACGCCCACGACCACGCCCACGACCACGACCACGCCCACGACGACGACGACGACCACGACCACGACCACGACCACGACCACGACCACGACCACGACCACGGCCACGACCACGACGACGAGGACGACGAGGACGACGACGACGACGACCACGACCACGACGACGACGGCGACAACGACGAAGACGAAGACGACGACGACGACGACCAGCACCACCACCACCACCTTCACAACGACCACGTCGACGACGACGACGACGACGACGACCATGACGACGACCACGACGACGACGAAGACGAAGACGACGACGACGACGACGACGACGACGACGACGACGACGGCGACGACGACGACGACGACGGACGGCCCAACGACTACGGGCGGCGCGTGCCGAACGAGTTTGCCGCTGACCCCCAGCTTCAGCCGGTCGCGCGCGTCCATCTCCGCCGTCTCCGCGGAATCCCGCTGGAAGCTCGGGTTGGCCTCCAGAAATGCCTCCCGGGGAAAGGGCGAAGGGGCGAGCAAGGCTTGGGACCTCGAGTTTAGGAGGCAGCACAGCCGCATGAGTTCAAATTACGCCCAGGCTTCTGCGCCGGATAAACCCAGATTGCAGTCAAAATTGATAGTAAGGATGCGCGGTAAGGATGCAAACCCCTATGATGGCCGTGCTGAAAGTTTTTCGAGCGCGGTGGGCCATCGAAAGTAGTCAAGAATGGACCGAACAGGCAAGGATGCAAGGGTACCCTTGGGAAGGTTGCCGATCTTTATCGTCGGTTTCGACTGTAAACTTGATTGAGAGGGATCGAACGGCATCCTGAGCAAGTGATGAGCCAAGAGAGCCCAAAGCCCTCGATCGTCGAGGACCGAGGGGGAAGGCGCAGGCGCAAGAAAGTTGGGCACTCGAGGTAACCGGGATAGGCCTGGTCAGGGCAGGGGCCTGTTCGGGGCTCGCACATGAGACCCAGAAACGCCCTGGAATCGCTTCATCGAATATGACTACGTACCAGACCACCCACACCCAACCCGAAGTCACCAATTTCGGGTTTGGGGGCAGACGGGCTCCACCTTTGCTTCTTTAATGTTCTGGGATGCCTCCCAAACCGGAAATGGAGGGCAACTTGGGGCCTTCGGGTTGGGTTGGGGCAGTTTGGTGGGTAGTGAGCGGATAAAAGGATAACTCCTAATTCAGGAGCGTATCGGATAGTACCTACATCGGGGAGTCTGGGTTCCAGGAAAACTCGGGTCGAGCGCAATCCGGGGAATCTCTGGCGCGAAACGGGCGAATCTGGAGTTATCCCTGACACTCCCTGCCCTGGTAACACAGGGCTCTGAGAAAGAGAGATGCTGCAGTCTTCGGAAGCGTCCAACAGGAGGACGACCAAGAGGGGTGGGCGAAAATCATGGCCGGTGGCACGTGCGCGCCCAGGGGGGCCCCAGGGACGTATTGAAATAAGCAGATGCGCCATGAAATCTGGGGAGCTATCATGGCCCCCGCCATGATATCCCCCCCCCCCCAATCATCATGCCGCCCCCGACATCTGCTGCCTGGCGCACACGGGAGCTCCCACAGAACACCGGACCCCTCCAATAGCCGAGCACGCTCCCCTCCCGACCGTGGCCGACGCCTCCCCTCTCCACCTCCGCTGTCGTCTGATAGGCTGGCCCAGGCATCATCTTGCGGCCCGAGGGAGCTGAAACAAACCTTGACGTTGGGCCCCATTTGGAAGAGAAGGAGGAGGTTGCAAGACTCTGGGATACCAACTTAGGTCTGCGTACGTAAGACGAGCGGGTCGGTGGGAAAGCGTAGGACGTGCACGCTGGCATCCTATTATGCACCTGCTTGTGAGCGTGGCTGACCGAGTTTGGGGTGGTCGTTTTGGGTGTGGTCGCTGTGGGTATGGTCGTTTGGGGTATGCCTAAACGAATCTAGAGTTGCTTGGTGCCTTGCAAGAAAAATAAGGGAAACCCCAATCAAACACTGGTTAAGCATAGTGAAACTTTCGGAGCTTCGAAAGGATTTTCTAGGATCGGCGCTGGACTTCCCTCCCTGGCGTGCGGAGCGCGCCAGTGGCGGCGCTGGAGGCGCCGCCAGGGGGGTGCAGCGCAGATCCAAGAAACCCGCGCGGAGCTCCGAATTCTTCTTCGGGGGAATTACACGCGGTATTTCTTCATATGGGACCCTTTGGAGTAAGTCGGGCGTGCCCCTCGACAGGATGAATATTCAAACTGAAAAAAGAAATTGGGACGAATTTTTGATTACTTCTGACTATTTGGGAATATCTGTCGTCCAAAATCCGCCTCTAGGGGGACATGCCCGACCCAACTTTGGAGGCCAGTTGCGGAACCTGGGGCCGTCAACAAGCGGCTCGGGATGAAAAACAGCCCCAGGGGAGGGGGGCCAGAGATCTTGGGGGGCCATATCTTGAAAGATCAAGCGGCTGGACGGCTGGGGAGGAGGGCGGCGACGACGAGGGAGAGCCTCAGGGGCGGTCGAGGGTAAGAGTTCTCATCGTCGTCCTGTCGTCACCACCATGACCACCACGACCACCACCACCATCATCATGATCATCGTCGTACTATCCCTCCTCGTTATCATTGTCCTTCTCTGCTTTCTTCTATTCATGTTCCTCCTCCCCAGAGATCCATATATATAGGTATGTGTAAATATACAAGTATACCCGCATGCATACATACATACAGACGGAAACATATACACAGATCCGCAGGCAAAACAATTTCAAACAACTCGATCCCAAATCGCGATGTCCGCCGAAACGGCAACACCACGATACACCAACCGCACCAAAACCAGCACCGGCACAGCAGTTAGGCGGCGCGCCCGGGGGGAAGGCGGAGGCCAGTCTTCTCATAGACGAGGGGATCTCAGAAGCCCTCGCGCCTTTTCGGAAACCGTCGATGGCTTCGGAGAACTCTTGAAAGGCTTCTCAGCAGGCGGGAGGGCTACCCCCTCTGCCCGAAACCCTGAACCCTGAACCCTAAGCTGATGCGCGACCCTATGACGGGGGTCGTTTCGCTGTCGAAGTGGGTCCGAGCGACCGTCGTGGACGAAACTTACTCAGGCCGACGCCCGTGCTTCGCTTCTGTCGACTAAACTCTAAGCCTGGAACCCTACTTCCTGAACCCTCGCGATACCTCCCCGCGTTACCGTCCCCGCTGTCGTAAACCCCCCAGAAAAGTCTGGAAGCGCCTGGGTGCGCCTGGGAGCGCTGAGGAGCGCCTGGGAGCTCCTGGGAGCGCCTGGAAGCGCTTGCAGGCGCGTGGGAGCGCCTGGGAACGCCCAGAAGCGCTTGGGGGCGCCCGAGGGCTCCTGGGAGCGTTCGCGGGAGTTTGGGAGCGCCTGGGGAGCGGCTGGCAGTCTGAAAGCGCCTGGGGAGCGTCTGAAGGAGCCGTCGGACCGAGAACTGCAACACACATGTTTGCCAGCGCGGATCCCAAAAAATAAACTATTCCACGTTCGATGTGCAAGCCACGTGGCGTAGCGTTAACGAGACAGCAACGGGCGACAGCGTGGCAAATCCTCGACGCACACACACACACACACAACACACTTTTGCCGGCGGCGAGGCAGAGGCGATCGCACCAGCGTGAGGCTATTCGGGGGCACCGATCGGCAAATTGTCTGGCGTGCAAGAGGAGGCACACACACACACACACACACCGAAGCGGCAACGAGGTGACAACAGGCGGCAACGGGCGGCAACGCGGCGAATCCTCGACATACCTCCCGAAGCGGCAAAGGGCGGCAACGTGGCGAGTTCTCGACAAAATTACCCCCGAGGCGGCAACGGGCGCCAACGGGCAGCAACGGGGCGAACAAAAACGACATACCCAACCGACTCCTCAGGGAGGCGAGCGAGAACGCATAGTGCAAGCACTGTTTGGGGCGAGGCGAAGCGAGGCGAGGCGCGCCGTGTCCGGCCAAGAAGGCCGACCCGCACGGGGCAAGGCGCGTGGGCCGCAGCCCTCACATGTCACTCCTTCCTTCTGCGCGCCGTCAGGCTCCAAAGCTCCCTAGCCTCCTGCGAGATTGCACCGCGTTTCGTGCGCACCTCTTGACAACATGAACCCTGGAAGAGTCCCTGACCAACACCACCTCGGCCTCCCGAGCACTGCTGTCGGGGAAATCTGCAGAAGGCCCCGACAACCCCAGTCTCAAGCCCCGAGGGCCTTCGGGAGGCGGGGCGGGCCCGAATTTCCTTCCCAGAGGCCCCCGAGAGCCGTCCGAAGGGACCCCGAGAAGCATCCCTCAGGATTCGGGCCCAAGTCAGCGCCGCCGCCGCCGCTGCCGCCGCCGTCCTGCTCCCCCCTTCGGGGTCGGCGGCGCCGGCCCCGAGGCCCTCGCAGGCGGGCAGAGAGCCTCGGCGGCCCTGGCCCCTCCGAGCTCGAGGAGGGGGCCCCCTGGGAGGCGGGGCCGTGGGGGGGGCGCGCGGCCCGCCTCCACGACGCCGTCCATGGGGTGGTTCTTCATGACGGCGCTGATCGCCCGCCGACACACCGGGCAGTCGCTCCTGCGGCAGGGGGGGGGCAGGAGAACCCCGAATCCGCAATGTCCACTCAGGATGTGTGTGTGTGCCCTCCTGGAGCCACAGACATAGCAAGGAAAGGTATGGCAAGGTACCGCAGTTACCAGCGGCACGGGTGACAGCAACGACGAAGACAACGACTCCTCGCCCTTCCAGGATGGTGCAGAAGTCTGGAAGCGCGACGGGCCGAGAAGCAAAACCGCACACGCCATACTAAACTCCCAACCCAAAACAGAGACAAGTTTACCAGGCTCACAACCCGTGTGGTGATCATGGGAGTTACGGTGTTCATGCGTATTGCTGCTGCGCTGCCGTTCAATAGCAACACGAGCCCTGCCCACCATTAGAGCGATCGTTCGGTATTGTCTTGGTGGAACCACGAAAGCGGGTCAAAACTGTCGTAGCGGCGATGTAATGCTCCGCATAGATTGCACCATGTATTCACTTACATAAATATGTGTATATATATATATGTATACATATATGTGTGTAGGTGAACATATACCTATGCATGTGTATGTATATGTGTAGATCTATGCATATTGCTAGAAGCACACAGTTTGGGGTCCACGCTGGCTACCATTCTCTTCAGATCCTGGCAAGTTTCCTTGCACGGAGTGGGAGGCGTGGTGAGGCCCGAAAGGAAAGCTGGCCGCCTTTCCGGCCCAGCCCCGTTCGAAATGGCGGTCGAGGGGGAGGGGATGCCGTGCAAATAGAATGCCATAATCAAACCACGCCCTAGGCAAGAGGAAGGAGGCGATCGACATTCGGATCGGACGGAACGGGAGGATAGCAAAAAGGGGGGTCGGCGGATCAGCACACGCAGCGGATTCCCCAGCGCCTCTGGGCGCCGGAATTGCCAGCGCCGGAACGCCCGGCGGCGGGGCCGAAACGGGCGGAACGCAGCAAATGTCGTACCCCCCCCCGTTCCCACTCTTCCCCGCTCGTCCGACCCGAGATCCCCGAGGGAAGAGGCGCCATGAGATCCGACACAGACACAGACACAGACACAGTCCCGCAAGAAGGCACCTACGCGGGTGCAGCGGGTGGGCGCCGGGGCGCCGGTGTTGGCCTCTCAGACTCTGGAGTCGACTTTGGGCAACCGCAGTCGGAAGAATGAGATCCGACGAAGCGGACCAAAAACAGCAACATTGAAAAAGCACGACCGGAGCTCTGGACCCCCTCCTGCTGCGCGGGCTTGTACCACGGATCGATCCGTGAGGGCCCAGGAGAGCCCGGCGCCGGGCGCAGACGGACGGCGCGAGGCGACGGAGACAGCAGGATCTCAGGGCTCGTCCGAGCCAAGATCCCCGAGGAGGGTAGGGGAGACGTAAGACTTGGGTACGGGGGACTCGGGTTGGCCCGACGGGGCCAGCATAAAAATGACGAGACCCAATCTGAAATTTGACGCGAGCTCCCGCTGCAGACATCCCACGAACACTGGAGCGTCAAAATCCAGGGCGCGCTCGTCAAAAAACGCCGGCAAACCCGAATTCCGGCTTACTCGAGTCTTACGTTTCCCCGAGAGGATAGAGGAGCAAAAAGCTGCGTGAACGGGATTCCCTGAGGCCCGCGGGGATTTCTTGGACAGGTGCTGCTGAAAACCCCTTCCCTGGCGCGCGGAGCGCGCCAGGGGCAGGGGCGGCGCCTGCTTCTGCAGTTGTTCTGCGAGGAGGGGATCTATCCTTATCCACCGCCTGGGGAACCGACGTCCTAGGCCCCCAGCGGACGGTGGATATATGTGTGTGTGTGTATATATATATGCATATCTCGCTCTCCCTCTCTCTTGGCCTCATCGGGGCCCAAATATATCAAGATCCACTGCCTGTCGACCCTAATCGGTGCTCAGTGACGGTGACCGACGCTGCAACGACACAAGTCGACGCTAAATCGGCGCTATCTCATCGATTACCAGACGCTACTGAGCACAAATAATCTCGGGAGCGGCCAAGAGGCGGGTGTCCAAGAGGGGGGGGTGCAAATCATGACCAGCGGCATGTTCGCGGCCCAGCGGGGGGGCCTGGGACGTAATGAAATAAGACGAGGCGCCATGAAATCTGGGAAAATATCATGGCCCACGCCATGATATCCACCCCCCCCCTAGTCATCACCCCCGTCTTTTCCACCCCCGATAATCGACGCTGAAAGCGGGAATTGAGACGGCATACGAGGCTCCCACACTTTGCTACCGAACTACCCTACCCTTCCGCCCGGCCCGAGCCTCGCGGCGACCACCCCACCCCACCCGGGATGTGGGGGCCCCGAGCCCGGGCTCCTGCGCTTGCCCATCCAGTCCGAGGTGCACGCCTCGGGCCGGGCCGCGCGGGCAAACTGACATGGAACATCACACGTGTGCTTCTGGAGATCCAATAGTCGTAACAAGCGTGTGATGTTCCATGCCGACTATCTATCATTTAAAGCTTAGTTCAAACAGAGACAACCAAGGGCTCCTCCTTCCCGCCCCGCTCCTGGCCTCCAAGAGAAAGAGGGGGGGGGGGAGGGAAAGGAGGCAGGGGGGCTTCTCTCCTCCCCTGAGCGCCAGAGGGGCCCGAGATCCTGGCGTCTCGACCTGTTCGAGCCGGGCGCCCTCGCCGAGCGTCGGGCCCCGGGGACCTCCACGGGTCGATCCGGCTCGAACCCTGGTGCGGAGAGCTGGGGCCTGAGGCTCCGGCCGCGTTTGTTCACGATGTCGCAACTTTTGGCGGCGCGCAGCGGGGGGTAGGGGGAGGGGGGAAGGCTTCTTAGAAGCACCCTGCTCCTTAGAGGGCCTCGGCCTTACGTCTATAGGGAAGGCCCGCGCCTTCTAAGAAGCAGGGGTGCTTCTAAGAAGCCTTCCCCCCTCCCCCTACCCCCCGCTGCGCGTTGCCGAAACTTGTTCGCTACGGCCGGACCCAGGACAGAAGACCATCCCTCAAGAGCACGAGGCCCTCCGCCCGCCAAACTGAAGACCAGTCGAGGGTGCCCTCTCCCAGGATGCACAGGAACAACCAACCAACACGAAGAACATCAGGGTACCATCCCCGGACCGACCTCGATCTTTTACCTCGGTCCCACCGTACGTCGGACCTCAGGGTCGAGCGGAGAGGGGGGGGGGGCTGCTCTCCTCGAGCGGAGGGGGCTTCTCTCATCGAGCAGAAAAGCAGGGCCCCTCCCTTCCGCCCCCTGCTGGCCTCCTGGAGAAAGACGGGGGGAGGGAGAGAGGGGAGAAGCAAGCTAGATGCCCTCGCGCCATCTCCTACATCCTGTCCCTCCCTCCCGTCTCTTCCCATTGCGCTGATTGTTTCGCTGTCCGCGGACGCGTGTCATAGCCGACCTGGAACTCCAAAAATGATCCCATCGTGTTATGCGCAATCGGAAGAGGTGAGCTGCGTACATAGGAGGAGGAGAAGGAGGAGGAGGAGGAGGAAGGAGGATGAGCAGGAGGATGATGAAGGAGGAGGATGAGGAAGGAGGACAAGGACGAACAGCAGCAGCAGGAACTGGAGTGGAATCTCCTCGGCAAATCTCGGACAGCGCGAAGACCTCACCCACGGACACTGCACACCGCTGCAGCAAAGCCGTGCCGCGGGGCGAGGCAGAAGTACGCACGACGGCCGGCGAGCTCGCAAGACCGTGAACATAGGCGTGGGCCGCAGTGCCAGAGCGGTACAGAGCACACACTGGAGGGGAAGGAGTGGTGGAGGCAGGAGGACCAGGGAAAGACGGATAAACAGGAGGGGGGCGACAATGCTGAAAAAGGACTCGGAGGATCTGGAAAAGTGGCCCGCGCTGGGCGAGAGCCCCGTTTTGAGCGACGGGAGCACATCGCCGATCCGAAAATGAAGCCCAGGCTGCCGCGTGAGCACCATTCTTAAACACCTTATAAATCTGATTGCAATAGAGGACGCTTTCATGCAAAAATACAATAATTCAAACAGTTGATACCTTCACACATAAACCAACAAAAACGCGGACAGGGCCGAGCACTTTCCGCACAAAGTCAAGGGAGATAGGAGAGTAGTAGTCATAATGCGCAATTGTGGAACAGGTGGGGCCAGAGGGAAGGATGGGACGAGAGGAAGGGTTGGCTCCCCGCTGGAAGAGTTGTTTGCCCGGTGGAAGTTGGAAAAACTGCGGGGGGGGGCTCCCCAGCAAGGAAACGCACACCAGTTTCGCCTGTTCAAGCATCAAGTGGATCATTGACACGTTCGCCAACATGCTGCCAGAGAATTAACCCCTGCAGAAACAGTTACACAAACGCTTCTTCACTGAGTTTGCACGATGATTTACGGATGTCGAACAAACGGCGTCACTAACTATAATATTTGTCGCGTGTAGGCCTGCACTGATTCATTACCGACGCTTTGGCCCTGTGTCCATGATGTGTCACATGTGGCGCGGTTATGTCTGCAAGAAGCTTCCCTCACGTCTTGTTTCCGCATCGCCAGGACAGCGTGAAGGAAGAGAGAATACACGAGCCACATGTCGCACGTCAACTACCCTCAGAAAAGATTGGCAACCACATGTTTAACATTGCAACAACTGGGGACCCCAAGGAACACGGACACGAAACCCCAGAAAGGAAGGCAAATAACAAGACCAAGAAACCGAGACAAGACCGAAGAACCCAAGGAACAAGACTGGGAACCCGAGCAACGCCAGAGACAACCAAGACCAGGGGACCGAGCATTCCAGGGGGTCGCCTCTAAATTGGCACCCGCACCCACCTGTTCTTTCACAAGACAAACAAGAACCCTTGGGCAAAGCAAAATGTGTGAGAGCCAAAACAATGCACATCGATATCCCTCCTCGGGTCATGAAACAAATGGTTTTGAACATCACGGCCCAGGGCATGTGCGCGGATCGGGCGGGGGACAGGGCACGTGTTTACAAAACAAGGGGGTGGCCATGAATCCGAGGAGATATCATGGCCCCGCCCCGACGATGATATCCACGCACCCCCCGTCATCACTCCCCCCATTGGACGCCCCCCCTCCTCCTCCTCCCTCCGCCCCGTCCTCCTCCTCCTCCCCCTCCTCCCCCTCCTCCTCCTCCTCCTCCTCCTCCTCCTCCCCCTCCTCCTCCTCCTCCTCCTCCTCCTCATCCTCCTCCTCCTCCTCCTCCCCAGTACGGGGGTTAAAACGATACCGCTGCCGCTGCTCCCTGGATATTCTCGGGGGGGGGTCCTGACCAAGAGCTCGAGGAGAATATCCGGCCGTGGCCACGGGTGCTCCCCCGGGAACAGAGGAACAAAAAGCTGAGGTGTGCACGGATCCCTTGGATCGGCGCCATCCAACGGGGGAGCGCCAGGGGGGCCCAACGCCAACCCAAGAACACCGCGCCGAACAGACGAACAAAGAGCTGAATCATACTGATTTTGTCGGAGGTGTATACGACTCCCCTGGATCGGCGCTGGACCCCCCTCCTTGGGGCGCGGAGCGCGCCAGGGGCGGCGCCATCCAGCAAGGGGAACGCCAGGGGGGCCCAACGCCAACCCAAGAGCACCGCGCCGACCTCTAAGACATCCTGAGTATGCAATATTATCCAGCATTCGCTTAGGAAGAGCAGCGGTATCGGCGTCGTTCCCTTCTGTGACCAATCTCCCTCGCTCGCTTGCCATCGCTCGGACATCCATTCCATGTGCACGTGCCGATTTCGTAAGTGCTTCTCCGCTGGGTGATCCAAGATCCTCCTCGATGGTCGTCGCCGAGGAAAGTGCACACGTCCAAGCGGTGCCATGCCCGTATCCGCCGACTTACCGAGCGCGCGGGAGGCGGGCACCATGCAGAACACGTGGGAGCAGGGCATCAGCGACACGCTCTTGTAGAGCACCTGTCGTGGCGAGCCGGTCGGGGCAGCAGGCGTGCCCGAGCTGGGCTGGGCGCCCGGGCAGGCCTCTGGAGGCCGATTTTCTGGCCGCGGGATCAGCCAGAAGCTGGGCCAGAAGTCGCACAACAGGTGACGATCTCGCAGACCTGTGATTGGGATGGCTCCTACTCGCAGGCGTTCTGGGAGAACATTTTCGGCGGCCGCGCCGCCTCTTCACACTGACATGGATGAGAGTAGTTACCGTGGCCCTCCCTCCTGCCAGCACGCGAGCGCAGGAACAAGGAGCGGGGGGGGGAAAGGAAGGGACTGCCTGACTGCGCCGCTCCACCTCGAGGGGCCAGAACCGGACATGAGAGAATCGGGTCGGGCGAAAGGGGGGGATAGCAAAGGGGGGGTTTGAGAATCAGCTCACGTAGCTGATTTCCCCAGCGCCTCCTGGCGCCGGAGGCGCCCATGTATCTAGGAATGGGCCCCTCGGCGGGGCCGAAACCAGCTGCATGCAGCAGATTTCTTAACCCCCCTTTCCCAATCCCCCCCTTTCGTCCGGCCCGAGAGAAGATGGGACCGAAAAACAGATGTAGCCCCCCGCCCGCCACCCAGCCTCGAATCGCGAACTCGGGTCGGATCGGAACATGCATCGGACCCGGCTGGATGACCAGGCGCGACGTCGGAACCGAGCCGGATCGGCCGCGCTAGGATGCACAGCAGCGCCATGCGAGCTTCGGGCCGTGTCGGACAGTCGGAACGTCGGAATCGGATCGTGCCAGCTGGAAACGATACCAAACCCGACCGGTCGGATCGAAGCTGAACCCTGGGGGGTGGAGCCGAGAGCCTTGGAGCTCACGTCGTGGGCAAAACCACGGCGTAGATCGTCAGAAGGAAAGTCAGAACCCGGGGATGGGTCCTGGAGGCGACCTCCTTGGGAGCACGAGGGCCCTCCCAGGTACCTAAAACTGCTCTGACGCCCGCACAAACACCCCCCGACACTTACGCCCCCCTCGGGGGGGGCACGGCGCTCGATCACAGGGAAGTCGAGTCACTATACGCCATCACCACCTCCATTCCCCCTCCCCTCCACCTTCCTCTTCCCCATTTCTTTTCTGGGAGAGGGAGGGGGTGAGGAAGGTGGCGGTGGTATGTGTATCTACAGATATGTATGTGTATAGTTGTGTGTATCTATATGTATGAATATATATATATATATATATATAGATGCATATATATATGCATATATATATATGCACATATATACATACATACATACATATATACATACATACATACATACATACATACATACATACATACATACATACATACATACATACATACATACATACATACATACATACATACATACATACACGTACGTACGTACGTACGTACGTACGTACGTACATACATACATACATACATACATACATACATACATACATACATACATACATACATACACACACACACATACATACATACATACATACATACATACATACATACATACATACATACATACATACATACATAAACACGGTTATCTATAGTTGCATATGTACATATATACATATATATACATACATATATATATATACATATAAATATATATATATATATATAGAGAGAGAGAGAGAGAGAAAAATATATATATATATAGATGGAACCGTTATGGGGCACCTGAGAGGCCGTCAAAAACAGCTCAACATCAGCCAGGGACGGGCGGGGACCGCTCCAGTGTGGCCCCAAACTGCCTAAGCATGGCTCCAAGACCCCAACCTGAAGGCCACAGATTGTCCCAGCCAGTCCTGGGCTGGAGGTCCCTGGCAGGGCCCGCAACTCCCCCCAGATGTGCCTCGGACCCGTCTGGCCCAGCCTCGCTCGGAGGAGGGGAATTAGTGGGGGGAGTTGTGACTCAGGCCGGCTTCTCACGATCCCGACTTCTGCTGTCCCTCGAGTCAAGCTGGAACTTCCACGATCTCTCCAGGCTTCTCTGGAAACCACTGAACATGCCTCGATTTGTCAGGATGTGCGCCGATGTGCCTCGACTTCTCTGGCTTGAGCTCCGCAAGTCGGCTGGACAAGAGCCGTCAGGCCCTTGCGCCCTACGGATTGGGTTTACCGCGGCGCTCCAGCCCTCGATGTTGACCCAAAGTGGGGCGCTGAGCGCCACTTTAGGCGCCCAGGGCCACCCACAGGCCCCGCACACACGGCCGGCGGGCGAAGCGGCCGAGCGGAACGCGGAACAACCGAACCCAAAGAGCAGCAAAAGTGCCCTTCACGCCCTACGGGCGGTCCTCTCGGAGCGTTCCTGAACGCTGTGCGAGCGTCCCTGAGCGCTCTAGAGCGACTTGTCCTGATCCTGGGCTCGATTTGAACGGCCGCTTCCCGTCAGCCTTGTGTTCGGGAGCGTCCAAGAGGGGGGGGCGTCCAAGAGGGGGGTTCGCAAATCATCGCAGGAGGCACGTGCGCGGCCCAAGGGGGGCCAGGAGACGCATCAAAACAAGACGAGGCGCCATGAAACCTGCGGAACTATCACGGCCCTGGCCATGACATCTGCCCCCCCACTCCTGGTCATCACCCCTCCCTTGGTCGCCCCCAGAGGCACGCCCAGGCCCGAAGCCCCTGCCCGGGAGGCCGGGGCAGGCGCAGGGAGGGCCCCCGTGCTCCCCGGCAGGGCGCGGCAGAGGCTGGCGTGGGCACGGCCGCGCTGGGACGGGCAGCTCCTGGGAGGTCTCCGCAGGAACAGTTGCGTGCTCTGGCCGATGCCAGGACGAGGATAAGTTCGGGTGAGGATGAATCGAGAATCTCTGAGATCTGGCGGCTCTGGAGAATGCATCGGGCGCCGCGGCCTTCTCAGAGCAGTCCACCACGCTCTGAGAGCGTGCCACAGCGCTCTGGAACGGATCGATCCTCGCCCCAGCCCTGTCCGAGATTCGCCAGGCAGGCGCCTGGCACGCGCCTGGCCTGAAGCCGGACCAAGCGGGACGGCTGCCCTGCGGGCAGGCCTTGACCACGGATGTGAGGCGCCGATGCCTTGCCATCGCTCGGACGGCCAGTCCTACGTGCATTGTTCGGATTCGTACGTGTGCTTCCTCGCAGGATGACCCAAAATGCTCCTCGACGGTCCTTGCCGAAAAGATATGCTCAGGTCCGAGCGATGCCAAGATGCTGGGCTTGACCTCCGCGGAGCTGCATCCTAAGCCACGGGGCCGCCGGCCCGGGCACCGCCGCCCGAGCAGGGGCGCCTGCATGCAGATCGGGCACGTCACCAGATCCTGGAGCTCCATGAGGAGCACCTCCTCCTGGCGGCATGGGGGGGAAGGGAGCTTAGGAGGCAATTCCTGGGAGGAGTCTCCGCAGGAACGAGGGCCACTGATGCCGACTAGGCGGCCATTAGAACCCAAATCGGCACGGATTAACCCAAACATTACGCCGAATTGAACGGCAGTAAGCGGATTGAGCCAGATCAAACCAGACTAAGCGGAAGTATGCCGGATTAGTCCAGTCGTCGACCAGGGATCTACCAGCGCCGAAGCTGAATTCAACCTACCAGGACTTGCATCCGAAGGAAGGGAGGCCCAGACATCTTCCGGCTCGTCAGAAACCAGGCCGCGAGCTCCTTCCACAGTCGGAGACTTCAGGGGACCGAGAATCGGGCCCTGGAGCAGTCATCGCACGACTCGGGATGAACCCACGAGGTGTAAAAAGTCGAGCCGCCAGATGTCTGGGGAGGGACTGGGGGAGGGGAGGATGGGAAAACAGGGGGAGACGACGGGAAAGACAGGATGGGGAGGGGCGAGGATGGCTGGCGGGGAACAGGCTGCATCGAGACAGAACCATGCTTGCTAACGTGCACGCACAGGCTGGCGTCGTTGCCCCCCCCCCCTCGGCCGGACAAAACGGGGAGCTTCACGGATGTCACGAGGAACAAAAGCTGAGCCGCTGACTGCTCTTGAAGCAGATGGCCCCTGCACGCCATCGCCCCCTACTCCTTCCCCCACGCACTCCTTCCCACCAGCCCACCCAGTCCACCTGCTGCCGTCTCGCCCTCCTCCCACCTCACTCCTACCCGGGGTTTCTCCTCTCTTCCTCCTCCTCCTCCTCCTCCTCCTCCTCCTCCTCCTCCCCCTCCTCCTCCTCCTCCTCCTCCTCCTCCTCCTCCTCCTCTTCCTCCTCCTCCTCCTCCTCCTCTTCCTCCTTTTCCTCCCCCCTCTCAAGTCGTTCCTCTGTCACTGGCCTCCCCCCCTTTTCCATCCTGCTCAAAACTGGCCCCTTCGTCTGCCTCATCCGTCCTCCGTCTTCCCCCTTTTGCGTCCTCCTCAACCCCTTCCTCAGTCCTCCGCCGTCCTCCTGACCGATCCTGCTCCTAAGTACCGTTCCCCCCGCCACCACCGCCACCACCACTACCACTACCAGTACAACCACTACTACCACTACTACTACCACTACTACTACTACTACTACTACTACTACTACTACTACTACTACTACTACTACTACTACTACTGCTGCTGCTGCTGCTGCTGCTGCTGCTGCTGCTGCTGCTGCTGCTGCCACTACCACCACAACCACCACTACACTACACTACCACTACCACTACACTACTACTACTACTACTACTACTACTACTACTACTACTACTACTACTACTACTACTACTATACTACTATACTACTACTACTTCTACTACTACTACTACTACTACTACTACTACTGTTACTACTACTATTACTACTACTACTACTACTACTACTACTACTACTACTACTACTACTACGACTACTACGACTACTACTACAACTACGACTACGACTACGACTACAACTACGACTACGACTACGACTATACTACGACTACGACTACGGCTACGGCTACGACTACGACTACGGCTGCGTTTACGACTACTACTACTACTACTACTACTACTACTACTACTACTACTACTACTACTACTACTACTACGACGACTACGACTACGACTACCGACTACGACTACGACTACGACTAC